ATAGTAACATGTGCAATGAAAAACAGTACCAATAGTTTTGGTAATATCTGTAAACAAAGTGGTTAGAAAATTATTTTTTCTAACCTAATTTTCACACATTTTTCAAATATTAAGAGTAAAACAACTGGCCTATAGTTTTCAACATCCATGGGATTTATTTTTACCTATATTTAAGATTATAGATTCTTTATATTTAGTTGGAAAAACACGTATTTCAAAACTAAGATTGAAAAAAAAGAGGTAAACAGTTTTGATCCATGGGGAGCCAAAACTTTCAAAATCTCAGTTGCTATTCAATCTTTTCCTAGCACTTTTCTTTCAGGATGTCAGTGAAAATACTATCTACTTTCTACCCAAAAAAATATGTTTTATATTCATCATTATACTTAATTTTTTCCAACCACATCATTTATCAAATTTACAAAATATCCATTAAGCTATTCTTAAATATCTTTTTTCATTTATAACCATGGATACCACATCATTACTTCATTTAGGTAAGTTTTTGTTACCATTAACTAGTTACCATTTTAAAACCCTATAAAAATGTCCTTCTCACCTCCCAGATTCTGTTTGGTATATATTTCTATAGTATCAAAAATGATCTCTTAATCTCTAATTAAAAGGATGTTTTATATCTTTTTTTATACATTTTATCCTTCTTTTCTAATGACCAGACTAGTGAATCAGTAGGCTTTATCTTTCTGTGTTCGTACAAATTGCTCTCGCATACTTTATACTTTGCTTGATCCAAAACCATCAATTAACCCATTTCATGTACCCCTTCCCTGTAAAAAACATTGTTCCAAACACAAACTTTCAAAAAAAATGTATTACATTTAAATTAATTTTTGCTACTTAGAGTAGTTTGTTTTATATTTAACTTGCATATCTATTTCAAGTAATGTAGCAATCAACTGAAATGGATAAAAAGATGTAGTTAGTACAAGTATGTGATCAGCATAAGATGACATACTATATTCAGTTATCCTTTTATCAAGATTTATATCAAATATAAAAACAAAATTACTCATTAACTGAAGATATTCATTCATTATACAACTTTATTTATATTGGTATCTCCTGTATAAAACAACATTTCATAATTTAAGGTCTATAAATATTTCATAAAGTTCTTGTAAGAAATTATACTTGGAATATTAATGCTCCTATATACTGCTGATATCTTAAACCATGATCTATGCCACTTAACCTTTGTTTACATGCTATTATATGATGGGTCACATAAATAATAGTTCCACCAGTTTTCATACCAGGAAATATTCAGAGTACATTTTATAATTTGTTAATTTCCAATCTCTTATTCAAAAATCAAAATTTCAAAAAGTATAACTACATGTCGTTTATATCTCAAGTTATTCAAGTACATGTGTATTAACAATTCAGGGCACTATATTTTCATATATTAACGTTTTTCTAAACTGAAAATGTATTTCCAATAATACTTTCCTCCACTGACACTATAGCTATTTTTCGATCTCCAGGGTTTCCACTCTTTGCCCAACTAAGCATTGAAAATGCTTGCTCCAGTCTTTTATACTCCACTCGAATGCCTTTGGCAAATTTCTCCACCAACTACAATGCGCCCTCTATCTAGGTACTATACATAAGCACCCCATTCAGATAATTTAATCCCTTTTTCGAGACATAAACTCGCTTTTAGTGGGGAGGTACGGTGGGAGAGTGTCAGCAGAGATAAGTATTATTGGAAATACATTTTCAGTTTAGGAAAATGTTAACTTCCAAAACATACTTACCTCCACTGACACTATAGCTAGAAACCCACATTGAGAAGGTGGAAGGGCCAGTGCAAGTATGAACTGTACAGGAAGCATCTGTATAGAACAGGATTGTACCAAGATAAAGATGGTACAAGTGTGGGAGAACCACACTACATCCAGAATAAGTATGCTCTTCACCAGGAACTCAGTTCCTATATCAAAGTGGAATAGAATACAAGTAATCATCAGTATAGGCCAGCCACGACGAGATAGCTGAGGTTCCACAACTCGGAGTTGGAATTAAGGGTCATGGTACCTATATCCCACATTGGTGGCTAGGGCTATTGGACTGCAATGTTAAATATACTTTTTATTGGATCCCAACCTTTAGCCACAGAGTGATGTGATTCACACCACTGGGATCATGACGAGAAAGTAAGCAACCCCAAAGTGGACAAACTTTCTACTCCACCTGAAGAAGTCCAAAAGGTAAACCAAACAACAGAACATTACACTGCAGTTTACCTTCTGTCCCTGAAACCAGCTCAAGAATAATCCACACTTGAATAAAATTAGCCATTAAAAACAAAATTCCCGTCAACGTCAAATTTTCTCAAAAACTCAGCCCTAAATTAAAATCGTTACTAAACAAAAATTATTTAGAATCATACAGTACCAATGTCATTTACAAAATAACATGCAATAACTGCCCAGAATTTTACATTGGAGAAACAGGAAGAAAATTGGAAACCAGCTTCACAGAATGCAATAAAAAACTTTCCCATGTTTTCCACCACTGCAACTCAAAACACCATAATATATCTATTAAAACACAGAACCAAACATAAACAAACGAAAAATAAAAAAATCCATCTTAATTGAACAAAACAACCCTACTCTAAACCAACATCCTGTGGTGCTAAGATATCACTTTCTAAGTCATGCAACAATATCTGGTCATGTGACCTCTTTGCTCCATACTGTGTATATATATGTGTCAGTGTAAACTACTCGTACCTGATGATGATAAAACCTTGTCAAAATGTTGTACATTTGCTGTTATGTTAAACTTGTATTATTTTTCTTCATTACCCATTCAAGCCGTCTCCAAGCGTTATTAGATTACTCTAATTCTGCCTGAAACAATTTCAATTTGAGGGTAAGCTGACGAGTAATAAAACTGAATCAGGTGTACATGTAAACTAAATGAATCAGACAAAAGAAAAAGCTAAAAGAAAGCTTTGCTTCATGATGTAATGCATCTTTAACTCTTTTTCATATAATTTGTGAAGAATTTAAGGCATTGTGCATTTGTGTCTGTGTTATTGACTTAAACTTGATTTGAGGACATACCAAAGTCCATCCTGAAGTCTGGGAACATGCTGAAGTCCATCCTAAATGCTTCCAAGGTCAAGCAGTCCTCTAAGATTGAACTCATGAAGGTTCAGGGACTATTTTGTGTGTTACTTTTATTTTGACAAGAAATGTCATATTTAGAAGCAAACTTTTTGTAAGTTTTGCTGGATATTTGTATGGTCTAAATTTCCTCTGACTGTATCTTTTACCTGGCTAAAGGCTAATACAGAGTCAGAGATGTACACATCTTCTTAACAGTTGGTTTGCCAGCCAAAAATGTACTAACCCAATTATGCTTTGCTAGTGATAATTATGCAGGAAAATACCCTAATGTTCAATCACAATGTCTGCTTTGAGTCTCTCAGCATGGCAGAGGAACTGGATATTTTGATAACAGAAATGAAGAAAGCTGGAAAAGCAAAAGTACGTGATTTGGGTTCTTCACTCCAAGAAATCTTGAAGTGTTGAAAAAGAGAGAAATGGCACCAAGGAACATCCAAATTCATTGAAGAAGGTATTCAATGCTGTGGTGACTATAACTCCAACTTCTGTAGAGGCAAAGAGAAGTTTTGGTGTAATTGGCCTCTTTGTTTCAAACTGCATGTCTTTGAATGATGAGACAATTGATAAGTTGTATTTTCTTCAATCTTATATCATGCAACAGAAATAATAAAGTTCTTTCTTACTCATTTCAGAAGTATTTAATTTTTAATCAGTTAACCATTGATTAAGTAAAAAATTTCATCCATCATCACATTTCCCAAAAATGATTAACCATGCTCTAGCTTTGGTAATTTTGTATAATTTTGAAAACTTTGAGTAAAAACTGAAACCTGAACACTAGATTAATAGAGATGTGGAACAGTCTTGTCAAAAAATAAGCCTTTAGTATACACACTGTGCTCAAGGAGAGTACTGAGCATGGAGGATATGTCACTCTCCTGTTTGCAGAAGGCTATAGTCTTATACTGATTGCATCACACACAGGGACAGTACAAGTTATTACATATAGAGATGGGAGTATCATTCAAAGGCTTGGTTCGTGTACAAAAATTTTTTCAGCAGTGGTGTGAGGTAATAGCTCAAGTTCTGTCAAAAGGTGAGTAGTGCTTCTGAATTATATACTTGCATTACAGCTATATTACATTTTGACACGAGTTGTCCTCTAACATAGCCTTACAACAGCCAAGTGGATGTTTATTATAGAGTCTACTGGAAATAAGATGTTTTATGAAGAAAATCAGGCATTATATATATACATATATTCTACAAGTTATTACCAGATTTTAATGATAAAAACATTTAATTCTTATAAGATTAACCATTTTTCCAGTCTTGATGTTTAAAACATATTATGTAATGGTACATACACATAATTCTATAATTAACACTTGCTACTGTGTCTCAAAACATTAGCAAAGCTAATGCTCATAATTGACAAAACTGGGTTCCAACATCTTTGAGCTCAGCAGTAGATTAAACATTTGCCTATAATATGAGAGTGAAGACTAAACATGAAACACGTACATTCAAAACCAGTGTTACTCAATAACTATAGAGTTATTTACAAATGTTATACAAGACAAAGTGTTAACATCTGAAAACTGTCCACATTTGGCATTGGTAGTAAGGACTTAGACATGTGAAATAATAAGATTTCCAAGAATAAGAGTTTACGATTTAATAAAAGCCTGACAAGAATGATCAGAACATAATAAAAAATCACTAAAAGTGTCAATCAAAACAAGAAATAAGAACCATGTAACTAACTATACATTTATTATTATATGATACAAAATAAATAACAAATTTACAACACTGAAAAGTTCTAAATAACTTTGGAGTTTTCTTAATTGTATCACTTCTCTGCATACTACCAGAATTATTAAATCTGATACTTACTTCATATGTAAAAGTTAGTTTTCTTCCTTTTTCCAGTTTAACTTTGGCTTCACTTGTTAAATTGACATCAACTATGGTGTTTCCATTGTAACCAATTTCAAATTTTTTGTGAGTCCACATATAAAAAGAATTGTCTGAATCATCCACCTCCCCAACAATACCTATAAATAATAAAATTACATCAATTTAACAAACAAACCAGTAGAAAAAATATTTACTTGTAATACCTAAATACACTTACACTGCACATGCATAACCACTTTTTACATACATGTCATTTTCTTAAAGTTTGTTTGTCATTAAGCACAAAGTTACACAATGGGTTATCTGTTCTTTACACACTATGATTATCAAAACCCTATTTTTTATTGTTATAAGCCTTCAGACTTTCCGCTGAGACATCGGAGGGCCTTTTTCTTTGTAAGTCAACATTCTTAACAGAAAGTATTCATTTGAATTAACCACAAGCTTAAAATGGGAACATGAATTTTCTTTATTGATATAATATGAAGATTATCTGAAATAAACTTCCTGTTTAGCAATAAAAGAATTATGAAAAAGACCCATTATTAACCCTAATTGTCCATCCTAGATGGTACTCAACATGATGTTGTATATTTCACAACCTAAATTTGGAAAAAACTCACATAAAATTTGCCATGAACTTACAAAGCATCTTGTTCAAATCAGAAAGCTGATGAGAAAAACTACATCAGTAAACTTTAATAATTATGCACACTGTTACCCTGCTGATAAATCTGATTTTCCATCTGTTAGAGACAGCTCTCATACATAAAATAAATACAAAATATCATAGTTCTAATTTCTGTAATGAATTTATATCTGTTCTGAGGAGAAATTACTTGATCTCCTTAATTCAAATGTTTGAAGTGATAGAAAAATATATTTAGTTTGTTTTTCATTTAACTTAATTTTCATATTTGTTATTCCTTCTGTAATGTGCAAGAAGATAATTACAGCTAAATGTATGGAAAAAATTTATTCTAGTTAATTACACTACATAATGATTGAAGTGACACATTCATTCTCAAGTTTTGTTTTCTAGCACAAAAAAAATAGTCTTTAATCATAAAACATCAAATTTCTAGTAAGTTCCTTCTCTTGTTCTATTTATATTGGAATTCCTTTGCTAAGAATTGGCCACAAATTTTTAAAACAGAAGCAATTTATTGATTAACGTATTAATCACAACCAAAAATTAAGTGAAATTCTGGCCAGGCTCAAAAATATTTTTGTTTGCTGAAACCCAAAACTGATTTAAAATGTGGGTAGGTAGGTAATTTTTTTTTTCAATTGGTTGTCAAACGAAATTTCAGGATACCACTAGTTTTGTTATCACCTAAATCATAACTGGTTAAACAATGAGTACAATTACTATCAACATTTATTCTATGAAGAGAATTACAGAAATTTGAAATTCTTTTGCAACACACACTTGCTAGTCTATATCAACCTTGATTGACGGAGTTGAATTGATTGTTGCTGACAATTTTACAGTTTGTTCTTCCATTACATCTCATTCCCCAAGTAAATCTACAAGTACTTCCCTACACTTGGATAAGTTTCCAACTGGAATTAATTTGTTTTTGATCCTAATCCTCACGCCGTGAGAAGATTTTTTGGAGACGGATATACTTAACAGACTTGTATTTATCATCTTGATGATGTAAGCTCGTCAATCGTAACTTCTTCCCTGTTAGGTCATGTGTTTATTAGTTCAGCATGAAGGGTCCTGGGGACAAGATAAGCCATGTTGTCAAACCTCAATGCATTGACCAATCAGCACTGAGCTGTCGATTGGTAATCACATAACGCCTTCCCACATCTTCGTGGACTACAAGAATTTCCAAGAAAAAATATTACAACCATAATACTGCAAAGTCAGCAACTTTTGTTAGATGGGTAAGTATATCATTAGAAACTGGTGAAAATAAAAATTTCCCAGGTCATTGTGTCAAAAAAATCCCTCAGTTGGCTCCAATTTCAGACAGCCAGTCGAGTTACAGCAAACAGACATATTTTTAAGCCTGGCCTTAGTACTCTTTTAGTTAAAAGTTTTTCAAAATTACTAAGTTTAACTTTTGAATTGTAAAGATTATCAGGTAGCTGTAAATCTTCACTTATATTCGTAATATTTACCGAAAATGCTATGCCCAGGAGTGAACTGTAACTATAAATTTTTATAGCTTTCGAAAATGTAATGTTTTTTATAATATTTGTACATATAAAAAGTAAATTAGTATATCTCTATTAACTAAAACAACCAGCTATTCAAATACCTTAGGCATACAGATGTTTTTTTATATATATTTCTATTTTGAAACAAGCACACCAAAACATTTGTAGAAACTGACTAGGTTTATATACTTAGAATAAGTGGTTACATAAGATAAAGCTTATACAAACCCCAGATTGGTAAGTCATCTATGTACATTTGGTACCAATAGTGGTTCTTGACGGCATAAGTAAAAGCCTGGAGTACTTCATCTGTAAGCTCTACTTCACAGTACTGTGTTTTAGCCACATTAGCTACATGAAAAACAAAATTAAATTGGATATATATTAATAAAGAATTACATACGATATTTATAGTGCATGTGTAACTAAGGTTAAAATGTTTTAACAAGCTTGTCAATAATACATATATAAGGCAAAATGCACAATTACAGAAGTAAAATCTTATCTAAAATAGATATATCAGATAAAAAATACAAGAATCACATAGAAAAAGAGGATAAAAGTGATAAAAGTCAAATTTTTTCTAAGGTATTAGCTTTTGTTTTTCACATAATAGCATTACATACAGAAAACCATTGACAAATAGCAATGAAACGAATACTGCATATAAGCCTCCTACAAAATTGCTGGAATTAAATATTATCATTTCCATTCCCCAATGATAATGGGCAAAAATTTCCTCTTTTTGTATGAAAATTTCTTCTTATACATATATCTTTTAAAAAGTTTGTCATACACAAATAAGTGTGCTATTTTAAATGGCTAAAGTTTGTTTTGAATAATTTTGAAAGTGCAACTGCTAATCTACATATAAAAATTTTAAGTATTAACTTTAATTGACATGGTGTAGCATAGACTTAGTAAAATATTCCCTTAAGTACTGTTTAATTCCTTACACTTCTACTTTAATTTTTCATGGCTTCACTTGAAATTTGATAGGTTAATATAACTTTGACAATAATGTATGATGGCCAGGTGTGAACAAACAGTGAAAAGGAAAAAGAAATGGTACTTTAGTGAATTCGAACTCAGGAACTCTGTACTTTGCATATGGATTTTTTTTCTCTCAGACTTTTTGTCATACCTAAAACTAAGCTTTTAGTATATAAAACATATATTTATTTGTATATAGCAGTCCTTAAAAATCAAAAATGCAACCATACTGCAAAATATTCAACATCATATTAGTATAAGTAACACACAACAGAATATGCATTATTAACAAAGAATTAATATAAACTCCAGCATATTAGTCGATCAGACAATAAAAATCACATATCTGAACTGAAACAAATAAAGCATGAGAAACAGTGTGTTTCAAGGTACTACTGTATAGTACGTGCAGGTGTAGGACGACAGACTGCAATTAAAATGTACTGGTTATCCCAGGACAAATAAATATGTGTCTTCATTTTGTTAACTTGTCCTGTATAAACAGTGCTTCAGTTACACAAGGGTTTGCACACACCTTTAAGATAAAACTTCTCACCTTTAAAGTTAATTTCAAGCCCACTAAATTCTAACTCCACACCAAGGAGTGCTTCTCCAAGAGTTTCGTGATAATGGCTAATGCTTTTCTTTGGCCCAGCACAGAAAGGCAGAGAAAAGTAAACATACGTTTCTTGTCTATTGTGATAAGGGCCCACTGTATTCATCCACAGTACTACTTCCTCATTGTCATCATACTAAGAACAAATAGAAAAAAATTGCACAACAATAACATATAGATGCTTTAGCTTGTACTTTTATACCAAGCTATGGAAAAATGCTATATCACCTTATGTAAAACACTATCATTACAACAGCCTTTTACAGCAGTTATCTTTCCAAATTTAGAAGAAAACTTTACTTCAGTAGCAAAAAAAAAACATTCATATACAAACATATCTATACATATATATTTGGCACTATAATGGACACATATATAAACAGTAATGTACGTGCATATACTGAAATATCAACTACATAAATAACTGCTAATCTCACAGTGTATCTTTATTCCCCAAACATTGTTAAGTTAGGCAATAATAATAATAATATATATTGGTAGTTTAAAAAGTTGTGTTAAAATGTGTATACACTTTCTATAGCTCTTGAAGAATAAAATTGGAAAAAAGATCACATGTAAAGAAAATTATGTATTTCTCTTTTAATGTGTTTGTCCTTATACACTGTTTCTTTCCATGGGCTATGATATTTTTACAATCTAACCTATATAAAAGCCAGTGTGTGTCACATCATGCTTGAGGAGTCATAAAAGTCAAAATGCATTTATCCAGAAAGAATAGTTAAATTACTGTCTGTCCATTATGATTTTAGTGAAGGGTATGTAAGGGGGCTGTGAGAGTGAAGTATGTGTGTGTGTGTGTGTGCCGTGAAACCTTATAAGTGTAGTGAGTGTTGGTATAATAAGCCTAAAGTAAAGACAGTGTGTGGAATCACTTAGCCTAGAGCCATGTGCCTAGAGCGGTGTTCATGGACTGGAAGCAACTTTGATGGAGGTGTGGACCATATTACTATTCAAACAATTCTTTGGTTAATCATTTATTTTTACTTATTTAACTTTCAAGTTTCTCACATCAATGTAAGGCATGCATTAATGATGAAGATGGTCATACACCTAATAATTTATTTGGCTGCAGTCTGTATAGGCCGTAATTACTACCAACTGAGCATTTGTAGACATGGACTCCAAAGTCCAATAATAAAAATCTGCATATTGAATCATACGACTAATCACCTGACATTTATTTTGCATAAAAATAAGTTTAGGGGTGTCATTCACATTTTTGTGTGTTTTGTAATAACTAGTAGGAGTAGAAATCAGAAAACTATATTTTATTTTTTAATTTATGTTTTAACTTTATAATAATAATTCAGCGTTGTCACTAGTACGAATAGTAGTAGTCCATACTTCACACGTTTTAAAATTTAACACGATTAAAGCTGGAAATAAAGGAACCTCAATTACATGGTACTATTAAACAAACGCTAAGCCAAAAGTTACCTGTCATTGATTATTAGTTAATAGTATACTAAGTTTGCAATCACAGTTAGCCTCACTTACTAACTTAGGCTTAACTTTTAATAACTTGTTATAAACTCGACTTACTTGATGATTGTGTTCATCACTGTCAGTTTGGTGAAAACATGCTCCAAGCATTACTGCAACAACAAAAAATACTTTCATTTTTCGTAATTTTATTTTATTGAACTCATGCGCGTACTACAAGAAAATATTCAAAACTAGACGTGTAGGTTTAGGAATTACTGTCAATATTTGGTTTCCATCTTAACTTAGGCCTGAAGCCAACACTTTGCCGTATAACGTAATTCATAAATAGCATTTTCTTTCCGTTTTGTGTAAATCCAAAAGTCTATCTACAACCGTCAGGTAGAGCTTTATTTCTTATTTATCGATTTCGTTTTGCTCGTTAATTTTCAGGTGATTTTATTGTTTAATATACTGAATATTGAAAAAATAAACAACAGTAGTAAAGAGTAGAAACAGCAGTAAAAGATCAACGAAAGAAAATACTATAATCAGTTTTAAGGACCTAAATTTAAAATGATGTGGCTTCTTAATAACAAATATGTATGAGTTTGTAGCTAATATATAGGAGTCCAACGACATCCCCCCCGTGACACAGCGGCATGTCTGCGGACTTACAACGCTAGAAACCGGGTTTCGAATCCCGTAGTGACCAGAGAAGAGAGAGCCCGTTGTGAAGCTTTGTACTTAATTTCAAACAAACCAAAGACATGAGTTCATAATGTATTTGTAATTTATACATATATTACAATAATTTTGTATTATATACATACGATACAAAATTCAGCTTTCTGTAATTCCTTGCACTCTAGAAATAATGCCAGTTATTTCTGTATAGAATTTCCTAATAATTTGTGATCCAACTGAAATTTACTATGAGCGTCTGCTGACTGCTTTGATGTAGTATTGTTTTTTTCTTGTTAAGTACAAAGCTACATAATCGGCTATCTGTACTCTGCCAACTACGAGTATCAAAACCCCAATTTTAAAATTATAAGTCCTGAGATTTGTTGCTGAGCCACAACAGGTCGCGGTTTAGTATCTCCAAATAATTAACCAGTTTTCTGCAAAAACCAGGAATATCAAAATCCAGTGTAATGGGCCAATATTTTGTAAAACTAAAACAAACAACTGTGAAATTTATGGAAGAAACGTTGAAATTATTACATCAAGATATTCAAATAAGGCTCTAAATCCAAGGTTCGAAGTCCAGTGGTGGAGAGAGTGCATATATCCCATTGTTTAGCTTTGTATTACACGACAACAACAACTCTCTCTCTCTCTCTCGATTATCCCCTCCAACAAATTCAAGCTTTTCCCCTCAAGTAAATAATGTTTAAGTTCTAACTATAGTCATTAAAATTCTAAAGTCAGCAAATTCTTTACAAGACTCTATTAAATTCTTAGGAGAGTCTTGACAGAGTTAAATATCCAGTAAATTGTGAATTTGGTCTTTGTGAAATATTTTAAGTGTTGAAAATATTGTTTTACTGTGATTTACACTTTATCCAGTGTATTTCTTTATTTCAAATTCAAGATAATTCAGTTGAACCTGGAAAACTATTTTTGTGTAATCTCTTGTTATTTGTGGTTTCAATCGAACTTGACAAAAAAAAGAACAATTTATTAGAAATTACTACAGAATAAGGGGAAGAAGAAATTTCTGTGTCGAGACCACAGAATCTATTTCTGTGAAATTTTCCGTTTTTCTCTTGAAACTTGCATTTCACTGTGCTCTTCAAAAATCTTGTGTTATTAAGTTTAAAAAGATTTAATTTTGCACAAGTCCAAGGACTTGTAATCAAGAAGAAGAGTTCATCCTTGAAGGTGGACACCAGTTTGAGAAAGCAATTGATTCTCAAAGAGTTTCTCTCTGAATACCAAACTATAACTAATGTTGTGAAGATCCATGACCGCGTTCTTACTGCGGCTGCAAACTCATGAAGGAGAACTGCCATAATATGGTGTACTCAGAACTGCGAATCTAATTTCTCCCTGAGCATCAATCTCAATATACAGGAGGAAAGGGCAACTGAAGAACATCATGGTCATGGATAGTATGAGAAGGAAAGGGGCAGTATCTACAGTACTACAAGGCATTCATCAATCAGAATAGCGCAACTCTAGCTCTGGTTGATGCCATCAAAAACTAGCAAAGAGAGAGACTTCTATTGGAAAACATCTGCCATCCTAAGCTGGTTTACCAGTAGGTGAAAAAGCAGGCATTAACTGGTAAAGATGTGAACCTTTCCTCAATGCTACTCATGGGGCATGGAGAAACCTGTGGTCATGCATATCCTATGAACGCATTTCCTACTATGACTCGTCGTTCTGCCATCCAGTAGCAAAGATCTGACATTCGTGTAAATGTAGGGATTGCTGAGAACGCCTAATATGCCATTTTCCAACGATACGAATTTCTCAACCTGATGTTAGCTGAGAATCCATGGGAGAAAGGCTGTTGCCATTCCAATAGGTCCTTATGAGTTACGCTCCGCATATTTTTCCTTTGGTGTATAAGGGTAAAGTTAAGAAAGGTCTGGATCACTCAAACATTTCAGAGAGGTCATTGATTGCAATAAATTAATTTAGGAACAGTTAGTGCCTTACATGATACTAAATCTGTATGGATCACCGATTAACTCAACTGAGGAGTTGAATGAGGAGGAGGACGATAGCAGTAGTTGTTTGACTGTCCAAGAAAAGTTCGTCAAGGAAATGCCAATGGAAGAGCAGAATGACAGCTCAATGATTGGCCAAAATGTTGAGAATGATCCCTTGATCTTGGCTGAATTACCAGTAATTAGGACAGGCACTTGATTATAACATCAATGTGTGACCATACCCTTATTTTCAAAGCTATTAAAGAGGTGTTTCACGATGAAATGTATGTACTACCTTGTGTGATCACTACGTGATCATTACAAACTCAGTACCAATTACTACACAGTTAGGATAGCAAGTGTTAGTAAATATAACTGGTAGACTATCAACAGTTTCTACAGCTGATGACTATCATTATCAATCCAAAAACTCAACTGAAAGGATATTGTGGCCGTTACTTACAAGCTGTTGAGCATTCTAAGATGAAATGTTTATCCAACATTTTTCGATAATTGTTTACCTTATCTAACCATGTATGTATGATTCGTACATACGCAGTGAGGTAGCTGTTCTTTCTCAGGACAATATATTAATCAAAATATTAAAAATCTAAGCGGGAAAAGTCCTTGTTTCACTGGACTTTATTTATTTTCTGTGGTGTTAACTATAGGCATGGGCTCATTGTCAAATGGTGATACGTTATCATGACAGTTCAGCTACTGGTGTATGTGTTCGTCTAGATTGTTTGGTTGGTTGTTTTAGAGCCAAGCCACATTGGGCTATCTACTGTGTCCACTATGGGGAATATAACCCTGGATTTCCGCCTTGTAAGTCCGTAAACTTACCGCTGTCTCACCAGGAACTGTTTGTCTAGGACAGTAAATTCATTTTATTGTGGACTATTGTATTTATTTTATGTTGATATGATTGTGTTTTTATATATGCTGTAGTGACTGCACTCATAATAATTATGATTAGAAGAATTTTAACTGAAAAGTCTTTGCTTGGCTGGAGTCTTTTGGTGCTGAATTTAATGGTTCATAGATGGCAACACAGTGTAAGGTCACCGTAGTTATGACAAGCTGGATGCAGTTTTTCTAACACTACTAGTCATATATGCACATATATGTGTGTATGGAAGTATAAATATATTAATATTTACACATGTGTAGTATTTCACATATATGTGGACGTTACAAAAATCCAGTCATAATATATGACACAAATGAATCAATTACATAAAGATCCTAACTGTCAAGCGATACAGAATGAAAATAAAAAGATTTGATCTTAATGCCAAGGCTTTAGATATTAAATATGCTGTGATTACTGAAAGTAGAGCATCATTATTTACAGATACAGTGTACCCGACATTTAAATTAATGCTGGTAAAAGAATGTTTCAGTTTTGACACTGAAATACCTTTACCTAATTGTTTGTCTCAATCTCTCGAGCTGAGAAAAATCTCCATACAATAGTTGTTCAAAAATACAATTAACCTCTGGTTAGATCTTGAGTATCTTTGTTATTTTGTCAGGTTTCACTTGTAAATCCATTTGTAGTGAGAATTTAATAGCCTGTAGCGTGGTAAAGCCAAATATCGTTTTTAAATTGTTTATTGATACTCAACACAAATAGTTTGAACAGTAAAACAGAAATAAAGTGTATTCAGATATCTTCAATATCAACAAACTTAGAGGTTCAACAAAAATGGTTGGCACAGATGAAACGAGTAAATTCCTTAACTAAAAAGCATGGTATCCATCACTTCATAATCGTATCGGTACTTAAATAACTTTAGCTTTTACTATATAGTAACTTCGCTCCCACCCTCAAGTGGTTCAGCAGTAAGTCTGAAGGTCTGTAATGTTAAAATTAAGGATCTACTACTTGCAGTGGACAGAGCACGGGTAGACAACTGTGTATACTCGCACTGAACAACAAGCAAAGAAACAAATACAGTAAGTTCATATGTATTCAAGAAACAAAAACTATAGACTAAAGAAGTTGTGAGTGATTAAATAATTTGTAATATTATAAGATTTAGGTTGGCGAGAGCCTGCTGTTTCAAACTGTCTGGAAATATTTTGTAGTTAACTCTATGGTTCTAAGATATTGTGATTAAAGAATGGAAAGTTTTCAATGGTTGTGATTCAACCCTCCTTAACAGAAACAAAATTCACGACAGTCATTTCTTTTTTATTTGATGATCCACAGAAACAGGTTACTTCACGCATGCCCATTGTGATAGAGCCAAAAAGTCTATGAGAATATTGGTCACGGAATGTGGCTAAGTTTCTTTTGCTCTAGTTATTTGTTGTTCTGGGTCATTCCACTGGGGTATCATGTGCACTTCCTCATGAGAAAGATTTCTACAAAGTAAACCTTTTCTACAGGGCTGGTCAGGTGGTACCTTAAGCTTTTCTCATGCCTTATTTTTTATTGGAATGACCAATAGTGGCATTGGTTACGCGTCCTGAATTGGCTGACATTATATAATTTAGTAAGTAATTGTATTCTCTCTGTCTCTAACAAGATCAAGCACTTTCCATTAAGTTTCCATGTTTAAGTTATAAGTTTAACAGTTGACGGTTCAAATGTAGCAAGTCTTTACGAGAGAGTTTCGAGAATTAACGATTTTGTAAACGTGAAATCTATAGTGCTACATACATTTGATAGAGTTAAGTGTTCAAAAGACATTATTTTCATTGTG